GCCTTAGCGGTAAGGAAATTGACCACGCGTCCTCGCGACGACGCGGTATTGTTCCCACACAGGACCCGATCACCGATGACCAATCGCAATTTTGCCGAAGGTGGCACAAAACGTTTTCCTCGGAGCCTATCTATCCTATCGGTATCACGTTCCCGCCTTTCCAGCCCACTTCTTCCTATGCCCCAGGATAGCTACTGCTGTACCCATTTAATCGCGTTCACCTCGGGGTAGCAGGCCTCCGCCAACGACGTGAGCGTGGTGCGGAGGTTGTGCGTGTTTCCACGGGCGACGACGTGCAGGTCTATGTCAACGCCATGCGGCAGCTCGGGCCAGTCGATCTCATCGCGGCAGCTCTCTCGCTGCCGGTGGCTCGGCTTAAAGATGGACGATTTTCGCTGCGGCGGATGGTTGGCCGGTAAACACACGAGCGCGATGGAAAGGGGACGGGGGGGGATAGGAAAGCAACAGCTTCGTTAAGGGTCGTTACCAGTGGGAGACTGCTGTTCGGGGAGCCAATCGTCTGCCTTCCAGCAGGGTTTCGACCTATTCAGAGCAGCAATCGAACCGCTTTCACCCATAGTCTAAAGACCGACTGAACAAACGTCCCGTCAGCCGCTGTAGGTTACGAGAAACAAAGCGCATCGACCTAATAGAGAATCCTGGTGCAATCATTTCCAGCCGACCACCCACGGGCTCAGCGTATGTTCAACTGATTGGAATCATGACGAAATCCTGCTTTGCGGAGCTACAAGACTGTATGCAGATTGGCACGAAGTACACTTCTTTTTGGTGCGTAGGGGTTCGCTGGGCTCTTCGAGTCCAAGTCACGTCAAATAGCTGCCTGTCAGCTGTTCGAGACTGGGAATCGTCGCTGATGGCAGCTAGCAACTTGATTCACACCAGCACATGCATGCTTTACTTTCATCTTGAATCACGCCTTGACGGCATTACCAATGTGCTTTGATGAGCCCACTCCGGAGGCGCGCCTTGTACAAACAATAAGCATCGGGTGCGGAAAATACTCCATCATCCAGCGATACATCTCGTTGATCATGAGAATTTTCAACGGCAACAAGCGTCGAAGCCAAGCAAGCACCGCAGAAAGAATCCGGAGAACAGATACAAACTCCTGCGTGGCCTCGTGTGTGACCCCGGCTAGCTGGTTGTTGTTGATGTTGTCTTGACATTAAAAACCGTTCCGATCTCTATACCCAGTAACTTCATCTGTCCGTACTGATCAAACACTTACCCTATTCCCGTGGTCACAGGCTTACCCTAAAAACAACGGTAAAACTTAAATGGTTCCTAAGGGTTCGCTGGCCAATTGACATCAACGACAGATGGTCTGAGCCCTACGCTCCGCTCTACACGCTGATGTGGGTGTTATGTGGCCGGTGCGACCAGAAAACATCCTTAAAGGTGTGTGCGAGACGTCAGGACCGACGTCCAGAAAGGTACGTTAAGAAAAAAAAGAAAAAATGGATTCATGGCTAATCTGTCTTGGACTTTTTCATAGCGATGGATTCGTGTGTCATACTAAGAAAATAAAAAAAACTGCTTCTGCTGCTGCTATGTACATTCTTCTTACACAAGCCCCGACGGCATCACGAAAGTGATTGTTGGCGCGCCTGCTGAGAGGGAGAGGGGCTGTGGAGCGAGTATGTGGGCCAGGGTGGGGAGAGAATACAAGGCCGAGAGAGAGAGAAGAGTCGGAACTCGCCTACCAAGTACGCGTACAATGCGGAGAAATCAGCGGGAGAATCAAACGCATTCTGTATCAGCTGAAAAGGAAGGTGGATGGACCACGTAGGCAGGCCTTTCAAACGGCTAAAATTCGAGGCTCCATCAATCGAACTGCTGGCCTGTGAACAGTCAGTCCACACGGAAAAGGGAAACAGCTGGCCCTATGCTGCAAGCTGAGCGGAAAGACAACTGACGTACAAATCGTTACGTACATCATTGCGCATGTAGACTATGTGTCGGGCGGTGAATGTGGCGCTTGGAGAGTGTACGCACTGCTCCAAGATCAACCATCGAGGAGGCAGCACGTCTTGCTTCAGCTCGCGACCGTACGAACTTTCGTCCAACAAAGAACAGGCCCCCGTTCCTACACTAGGAAAGAGTGCTCCGCTATGCTACTACAGTAGCGTTGAGGTATGTTATGTTCGCTGAAACCTGTCTATACGAATGACACGAGCCTTGACGTCCTTGGCCTGCTGCCGTGAGCTGTGAGCGGTTCTTCTGTGTCGCTGCGGGAACAAAATCACCTGACCATCACAGCGAGCAGCAGGACACGACTATGCTTGCCGTCTCCGTTGAATGGCACCACGACCTTCGAACCAACGGTCTGCTCTCTACCAGGGCGGTACTGCTGTGTCGGGGGTGCTCACCACGGGTTGTTGGCGGTGGTCTCGCGGGACAGACAGGAGAGCGACGGACGCACACACACAGACAAACACCGCTCCTCGCCAGTTCCGCCGCAGCCGCCGTCTTCGTGATTCGCAGATAGAGCACAGACGACAACGACGACACGTGTTGTGAGGAACGGCTTGCAGTGGGCGGTAACACCAGCAGACGCATATCAGGGAGAACGGGAAAACAGTCGCTGTTTATCTACCGCTTCCAATGCCCTTTCGCAGACTCTTTGTGCCTACCTCCACGTTGGGCGGGAGCTTGTTGCGGAATTTAAGTTCGAACTGCCCCTGCGTTCCAGTCTTTTCCCTGACAACTGGCGCGCTGGAGGTTGTGACGACGTTGACGACGTTGACGTAGTGCGCCGAAGCCGCTGCATCTCGTGTTATCATGCAGCACAGGAGTGTGTGTTGATCTCGTTCTCTGTGCAGCTTCTCCTCGTAACGGGTACCATGGACCATGGACCAAGTCGGAGATCAAGCGCTCCGGGGGCTCGCAATTGGGATTACCTCACCCCCCGCGAAGGTGGGCTGTGACGTGTACCAACGTGGACTGCTGCTGCTCTTGTGTTACAGCAGTACTACACGTACCACAGCAGCGTGACAAGCTGCTGCTGGCATCTCCTCTAGCTACCACGTGCGGCGTGTTCGAACGCATAGAGAGAATGTGGAGACTTTTGTTCACGTTTGCCGTCGTCGCACCCGTGTTTTCTCAGGGCTTTGTTGCACCCATCCTCTCCACCTCCTCGTCGCGCGATGGCTCCGCACCTCGAAGGGCTAGGACTTCCGCCGTCAGCAGGCCGCTGCAGTCGGGATCATCGTCGCCGACTGAGTGGGCGGTCATCTTCGACTGCGACGGTGTCATACTCGAGGTTCGTCCAGCTCTGCAATATTCGTGAGCGTTTGTACTTCGATCGTTTTGGGTATCATTCAAATTACATAGACTCGCGATGAAATGGTGTATGCAGTCTATATATAAAGTGGTTCGAGATGGAGTATCTGGCAGAGTTTGCGCATGTTTTTACGCCTCGACTGATCTTCACTATTTGTAAGATAAACATGATCACCAAATGGTATTAGTACTCCAGATACACTTTCACCTTCCATGTCGCGTGTGTGTGCGCGCCGGTTGCTTACGTGCTGTCAGTCGGAGTCGCTGCACAGAGAAGCTTACAATGCTGTGTTTCGAGAGTTTGCCGTGGATTACGAATGGAGCGCCGAGTACTACGATGAGCTCCAGAACAAGGTAAGTACTATTTACTGCTGTACGGGCATGTTTCACATAGGTAGTTGGCCCGAACACAGCAGCTATGGATAGCTCTGGTTGCCGGGCCGATCGATACCGCCAAATGATACGCACTGCCTGTACAAGTGCGTTGTGCTATGCGCGTGATGTTCAACCGCGGGCAGCAGTGCGATGATCCGCTGCTGCCCTGTGGACAGTCGCTTGCAAGCAGGTGATGGACACGCGTTTCCTTGATGCACACAGATATGTACAAGGAAAGGTATCAGGTGGCTGTGAAGATGCCGCAGTGGTGTACATATGGATTACAGCAGTTGTCTACATACTAGTATTATGAAAGCCAAAAGCTGCACAACAGTAGACTAGTACAACACGCATAGTCTATGATAGATACCTGTCATGGACATAATCCAGTGGAAGGGCCAACCCGTCCATGATGCGGCATCGTACCCATGGGCATGCTGTATGTGGCACCAAAGGTTGGAGGCGGCAAGCCCAAGATGCGGTACTACTTCGGCGAGCACGGCTGGCCAAAGTCCAAGCTGGGAGCCCCCCCCGAGACGGATCAAGAGAAGGACCTGCTCATTGACTCGTTGCAGGTATACTCTCATCCACTGAGCAGCAACTCCGCACCGTCAATTATGCTGAGAGGGCCAATCTATGCAGGGGGCACCACAAACGCGTATGGCGACCACTTGCTTATTCTTTGCACGAAGGCTCTGCGAGACGTGTCCCACCTCGTGCACCGCGACTGAGCTATTGGGGACATCAGCACGCAAATGACTAAAACTCACCATAAATGGTGTCCTTGCGACTTGGGGTTTCCCCCATCAACTCTCTGCGTGCGACGTATCCGGGGCCCCGGTATGTGGGAGTAGTCTATGCGTGTGGGCGTTTCTTTGAATATCATCGACCCCAATGTAGGTTGACCAGTAAGAAGACGCCAGTCCTATCAGCGGAGAGACAAAGCGAACACCCTTTGAAGCCAGTGGACTCCCCCAGCAAGGGGGGCAGCGGATGAGGTTTAACCAAGTGTTCTTAGTATATTTTTTTTCCATCCTTATTGCTTGCACTGACCTCGGTAACCGGCTGACCAATGAGAGGCGTCAGTCTCAGCGCGGTTAAGAACGGAATACGCCTCCGAAGCCATTGTCTGGGACCCCGTGAAGTTGTGTGTGTGTGTTAAATACCTCGGCGGGCTGAGCACGGCTTGGCCACTGCTCTGCACTTGCTTCCTTCCTCCCTCTCTCGTCTTTCCTTCATCTCTCCTCGTCTCTCTCTCTCTCTCTCTCTCTCTCTCTCTCTCTCTCTCTCGTCTCTCGTCTCTCATGCCGCCTGCGTCTGTTTTCATTTCTTTTTGGGGGGGTGGGGAAACCAGGACCGCAAGACGGACATCTACAAAGAGTTCGTGTCAGACGGCACGGCGGTGCTACGACCGGGGGTCCAGCGACTGATCGACGAGACCAAGGCGATCCCGGTGAGCGGACGGCAGCGCACGAGGAGCGCCTATGCACCTAAATAGCGAGCGGGCGCGTGTGCCGATGGTGTTCAACGCCCTCGTTTCGCACGTGCAGGCCCGTGTGTGTCATGCTAATGTCACGACCGGGACGCTTTCCGCCAAGCATTACACCACCAGCCTCTGTGCGGCGCCCCCCCCCCCCCCCCCCCCCCCCCCCCCCCCCCCCCCCCCCC